CACCATTGCTTTTCATTGTATAAATGTATGAAATAAAAAAAATGTCTCATACCAGGTTGAATATTGCGGGGGCGGGTGGGGTGCGGCAAAGATTAATATGCATAAAGTGTGAGGTGTACAGAAACCTGCACCTTATACTCCTGTCTTGCTTTTGCTAACTATATGAAATAGACTGAACCTGAACCTGACTACAATTTAATGTCTAAGCTGAATTGTTGCATCCGTAGACATGGAATTATGGATCAATTTTATCTCTCAAGAACTGCATACTTATGGTCCTATGCAATCCCAATTTATTCAGGCAAGCATCCCAAAAGTTCACTAATGAACAAAGCAACATCACACAGAATCTAAGTTTTAGGCCAGGTTACTGTAATGTATTTTTAAAGATGTACATTAGAGAAATTGTTCAGCCAACAATCCAATTAAATTTGTGTGCAGCTATATATATATTTACTAATCAATCTTTTCCCTTCTCTCTATCTAATTTTAACATTGCACAATGATTTACTCCTTGTTTGTAGCTTACACTGAAATCTAAGCTTGTGTGCATGTATGTATTATGAACCAGCCCTGTCCATTGCCTTACTGGATACATAAGTCTCTCCATTGTTGTTGTCGGATGGGTTTATGTTTGCTGTTGTCGGATGGGTTTATGTTTGCTATTATTTTCTGTCTTGGTTAGGAACCATGTGCTATAATGCACCAATGCTGCTTTCGGATGACGACGACAATGCCAAACACACCATCACCTGAGGTAGCTCATGTCTATATCTCATTTACTTATCATGATATGTACTTGGAAGTTATTCATATTGGTTTCTTAGGATCGCCTTCAAGAGCATGTTGAAGAATCACCACAAAAACTCCCCCAGTGATTGTGCCACTCCATGAGACATCCATATCAAACTGAAACTCAATTTCCTTGCATTAGCCAAAGCATGCCATCACATATTCTTTGCTGTTGTTTTGGAACTATTTCAGTATGGTTGAGTTCTTTTTTGTAAGTGTACTCTTTATGTTGGTGACTTATTTTTTTAATTGATTGTTCTTTTACAAAATTGAGCAAAAAGAAAAGAACAAAGAAAAATTGTTTAGCTAGATAGGCAAAGCCGCTGATGTTTACTTGTTTGCTGTAGACCCTTGATGGGCCATGCTTTTCTCTGCTTTTTGCGTTCCTGGACTGTAAGAAATCTTGTGGATGTTTGCTATATATGTTTTACTCAAAAGTGTTACTTGTCTCTTCTTTCAGATGATTGGTGGGCAGAATTAAAGAGGGATTACCAAGTAAGGAAATACACCCGAGCAAGCAGCTAGACCCAAGGTACAAATGTAAATCGCTCAACCATTTTGATATTTAGTCTCTCAAGAGTTCTTTTCTTAGTATATTATTCTTCAAGATCCACTTTCATTTTACTCAGTCATGCCCAAATGCCTTTTCTATAAATCATTCTAAAAGATCCATTTGTGACTTACTACCCCCCTCTGCCCATATTTTTATCTATGGATGCTGCTCTCTCTCTTTCTCTCTCTCTCTCTCTCTCTCTCTCTGTGTGTGTGTGTATGTGTGTGTGTGTCTGTGTGTGTGTTATAGCCATGTTTAGTGCTTCCGTTTAGTCCAAAGGGAGTAGCTCAATTGTGTCCTGCATAAATTAGATCTTTTCGAAAACATTTTAACCAGGATCCAGCTTTCTATACATTGATAACTAGAGCATAAGTGCACTCGCTCAATTCTGAAATTGTTCATATTTATGGCTTCGGTATAGTATACATAGTAATCATGACTAGATCGTAGAAGTTAGAGATGTACAAATGATTGATTGGAAATATATATTTGTATTTGCAACAACACACTAGATCACGTCAGGTAAATATTTTTGTAGAATATAAGTCAGGTTTAGAATTTTTGATGACGACAGCTGAAAAACCAAAGTAAATCCATGATATATAGTCAGTATAATATATATTTAGATATTCATAGATATTCATGGCATTGCATAAGCATAGTTCAGTTCCCCTGGGAGCACTAGCTGCTGGCTTTTACATGTATTTCTTGATTCTAATAAGATGCAGCTAATCTTAGAAAATATAGTAAGCACCTATCATGAAATTTAAAACTGGCATGATGTGGCTCTTCGTTGATAACTATGATGCTTGCATAGCTGGTTGATTTATTTGATTATAATCAAACTAAAACATCATAATATTAAGATTGTGATTATTCAGATAAAAAATGATCAAAGAAATACATGTACCAAAGTCACATCTGTTGAGATAATGATTAGGCATACAATTGCTTCTTCAAATTATTGCAATATTGTAGTTCTCTGTAGTCTAATAAATTATGTATTGTGGTCCTCCGCCTCACCGCTTAACGGGATGGACCGGGCAATGTACGCCAAGGCGAGACCTGCCTCTCCTCTTAAGTTGATTGGTTTCTCTTTCTGCATTCCTTTTCTCTGGTCTCATTTGGCATTTCTCCTTCATGATTATTATGTTGTCCCTTTTGGGTTATCAGATGCTTTACCTCGGCAGCATGATGAGATTCCTTGCTTTCTCCATGTGAATTTTCCAAAAAGCCTATCTATTTAAGGAACCATTTTTTCTCATTGGTGTTGCATCAACTAATGCTTATAGTACCTAATAGAACTAAAAGTCGGTTACCCGGTCAACACACCTTATAAAAATATGAATGGTCAAGATGTGGCCATCTAGAGTAGAATTTGGTTCATTGATTAATGTAGAAAGACAGGGATCAAAGTGATCTTTTTCCAAGGTAATCACCACTGTTTTGTTTTAGGCTTATCTGCCTGATGTTTTTTAGGATCTCTGTCAATAAGGGGATATATCAAGGTAGTGTGTTGTGTTCTAATTATAAATGAAGAGAAAGTTAAGAACTTCATAGATACAATGTAATCATGGCTAGAGCGTAGAGGTTAGAGATGTACAAATAATTGATTAAAAATATATATTTGTATTTGTAACAACACACTGGATCACGTCAGGTAAATATTTTCGTAGAATATAAGTATGATTTAGAACTTTGACCATGACAGCTGAAAAACCAAAGTAAATCCATCATATATATTCAATATTCATGGCGCTGCACAAGCATAATTCAGTTCCCTTGGGAGCACTAGCTGCTGGCGTATAGATGTATTTCTTGATTCTAACAAGATGCATGGCAATCTTAGAAAATATAGTAAGCACCTATCATGAAATTTAGAACTGGTGTGATGTGGCTCTATTGATAACTATCATGCTTACATAGCTGGTTGATTTCTTTGATTATAATCAATATGAACCATCATAATTCAAGATCGTGATTATTCAAATGATATGATCAAAGAAATACATGTACCAAAGTCACATCTGTTGAGACCATGATCAAGCATACAATTGCTCCTTCCAATTATTGGGATATTGTAGTGCTCTTTAGTCTAATAAATTATGTATTGTGGTGCTCCACCTCCTTTTCTCTTCTTGCCAGGACATATACTCTGCATGGGAAGTTGCCTACTTGGTATGAGCTTCAGTAGCATCGGCATCCGCTACACCTTCCTATGTTCTTTTGTTAATAGTCTGCCCATAATTATAACAACGAAATGCATGAATGTATATAGCTTTGCACCAAGGCACTTTACTTTATCTATGATCTGTCATTTTTGTGAGTCGCAGATGATTTTGGCATTGATATTCTCATGCAAGCCATCCTATCTTTGCAAGCCTAAAGATAGAATACACTCAGGGCACCGCATGTTTAAGTTGTCACTCCTATGTTTATAAGTTTATAGGAAGCAAACATTTTCATTATCTTTGGCACTTATATTTTCATTATATTAACTTGTGCAGCGGAGTTTTAAAATCAAAACGGGGCAATTCTCTACTGTGACAAAGTGAAGAGAAAACCGATGCATCAAATTAATACAGAAATCCAGTTCATATGAAGCAGAAGAAAGGCATACAGTACATTACATTGACAGTGATTGTTAGCCCATTGTGGTACTTCAAATCTGATAAAGAATATATTTCATGACCGAGACATGACATTTGGAGAATCTCGGTTCTAATATCTACATGAATCAACTTTTATTTTGTCATGCTACTGAATGTTCTGATATGGGACTACCTATTCTGTGTATCTCTTATAAGTAATAATGAAATGATCTATATATAAAGTTTTCCTATTTTGATTATATTATGTTGTCGATGATGCATGGTTCTTGAATTTGGAGATTAACATTTAGGCTTTTGATATTTTGAACCTTTTTGCTTTGTACTAAACTTGATGCAAACCAGTTTGTCTTATCTGGCACTGCCACTCAGTCTTTTTGGAACAAATTTTGTCATGTGCTTGCAAATTAATTACCCTATTGACTTAGTATTCTCAGTTTACCATGTTTTTGGTATATCTCTACTGTTTGTGATCTATAGTAAACTCATTAGTCCTGAAAGAGTGCTGTAATTTCCTTTGGATGTACAAGATTTATACATGCCGGGTCACGACGCTTGGACGGACAATGCGCGCCAAGGCGCGTTTCCGATCTAGCAGACTAGTAACATAGGCATGTTACTAGTCTATGTTACTACCCATTGTGGCTAGTCTAAGAGATGCATTTACAATACTGGTAATGTATTGATGATCTACAAAATATGTATGCAAGCATCATTTTGATTACCGGCAGAAACATAGCGACGTTCTAACCATCATTTAGATTCCCGGCAGATTCCTGAAAAAGTGGAAAACGTCTTGCCAAGTTGCATCAAACAAACCACAAATACATTTTTCCGGCATATACCAAATATGGGAAGCAGAAACAAATTGAGTCTAGTTTATGCTACATAGGAGAAGCTTATTAACAACTCAAAAAAGGGCTTATTATCAATCTTGCGTTCCATAAGTCAATTACTAGCCACATAATAGTAACATGACAACATTGCATATCCTCTGGTGCCATGCATAGAAACATCGTCCATATTGCAGAAATCAACACCACGAGTCAAGCTTTTGGGAGAAGTTGGATGTGAAAACCACCAGGAAATTGTAGTCCAGGAGAAAGCACCATGGTTCCTCCCTTGATCACATTCCATCTGCGCTAGGCAGAAGTTTAAAGTTTAGTTTGTCAGGATTTATGTACAATGTTGTAAAAAAAAGTATGCATAATCCTACGACTCAAAAGAGCTCACAATTCTTTTATTTACAGTCTCATGTTTTGCATTGAAGCTATATCATATTCTATTTTCCTTTCTTCTACTGAGCACATGTACACCGACACTCAAATCGCCCGCATACGTCCGACCGTGCTGTCCGGACCGCGAAAGCCATCCAATGCGGGCATCTAATGTCGGCCAGTGGCGCGGTTTGGGCGTACTTTCTCCCGCAAACCAGATATAAACGTGGGGCGAGGGGGGTGTGGGCATCCGGGCAGCAACCACACGTTGATGCATACCACCCTGGCCCACCCAAACCCACTCATCCCTCGCTCGCGCGCGTTCCCGCTCGGTGCCAGCTGTCTGCATTCATGCCGCTATAGAGTGGGCCGCTCCATATTGAAGACAGCTCAGGGCAGACACGACCTCTCACTGCCTCCGCCATTGAAGCGACGCGCCGGCCGAGGGCGTCGCCCGCTGCACGCCCGGCTGAACACACCTCGTCGCCGCATTTAAACGCCTCTATTAAACCCACATGGAAGCTGAGAAATCTACTTCGGCCACACGTCCGTTCACAAGCAGGCTGGTATTAAACACAACGTCAGACAAGCTCCTTCTGTCCGCCTGCTATTTAAAGGAGGCCAAATGCTGGGCAAGAATCGCACCACTCCGCCGCTCCCCATCTCCTTCTTTCACCATTTCCTCCACCCTTTTGATGGCATCCGACGAAAAGGAAGAGCAGTTCTCCGGCATAAAAGCCTGCTGGGAGGCCCGCGGAGGCTGTAGGATACGAGCGACGCATCTCGCTGCTCCACCTTCCTCGCCTAGTCAAATGGAGCAAGTACCGCCCCAAGCCGGTGCGTGCTTCAGCAACTCGCCGCTCCAAGCCGGCACATGGGGCGAGGGGGAGCACGGCGACACGGGCATCGTCGCTTCCGTGGACGACATCGCGTCGTACCACCGTCAACGCGCGTGTAACCGTGCCCTGCTGGCAGAGAAAGAAGCCAGCTGCGCGAAGATTGACGGGTCGGCGGCCAGCGCGTCCACCGCCAACGTCGAGGGAAAAGTAGAACATGGGAGGCTGCCGCAGCTTGGGTCCCAGTAAGGCCATCGTCGGCACGTCACCGGCTTGTACATCCGATGGCATGTCCGGATCTTTATGTCAGACCATCCTCGTCCCCCGTCTGGGCTCCACCGAAATGGAGGAGTCCCCCCTTCCCCTCCTGCTGAATCACCCTCTTTGCCACTCTGATGAGCAGCACAACCAGACATAGGGAAGATACGGTGGAAAAATATACCTCCGGGGCTCCCGGCAGTCCGGTGAGCGGGCTTCCAGACATGGAAAATACAAAGGGATCCACCGCAGCCGGTCGTAGACTAATCCGTGTCATGGGAGTGGAGTTCCGCGCGCGATCGTGTATGTGCACATAGTTTTCCCTTTTTAGTTAAAATATGTTTAAAATGTAACCATTTTTGTCATGTTTGTATAAAATCCGTCATGTCTATATGAAATCCGGCTGTGTTTGCATGAATTTCATCTGGTTGATTCATAAAGTGTATGAAATGTTTTCCCATGTTTTTTACGGCAAACCTTTTTGTAGGATTTGTCGCATGTTTCATTCCTTGTTTGCGTTTCTTGCATACTATATTTTTCACTTTTATGAAACAATTTTTGGTTTGTTTCCATTGAAAAATGTTAAATTTAGTCACGTCTTGCACGACATATTGTAGCACTGAAGTTTTTTAACGATTTTCCTTTTGTTGGACACCATATCTATTTTCTTGAAGGTACTACAAGGGATCTTTCTTTGTGTATGTGTGACTAAATGAACTTTATTGATTACTCCATAGGATTACAATCATGCTAAAGCACTTCAACAAGGAGGGGCGAACATAGTTCAACCATAAACACCTACGTCTAGCCTCACTAGCTCGCTTTGCACACCAATGAGCTGCCGTGTTAGAGCATCTCCAGCGTTCGGCCCCCCACGGCGCTGAAACAAAGCGGCCTGGGGCGAACAAGCGCTAAATTGGCCCCTGGGGTTCGGTTCGCTCCCAGTCATAGGCCCACGGTCGCCACGGGTTCGACGAAGTTCGTTTCAATTTTTTGCAAACTCGGCGACTTTTGCAGGAACACGGCCATGCTTCGTCGAAATTTGTACAAAAACTTAAAACATGCAAGAACTACACCTAATAACTTAAAAAACAAACTAAAAAGCCTAGCCGCCGCCGTCACGGTCGCCGCCGCCGTCGTCTACATGCTGAGAAGCCTGTAGAAGCATGTGTAGTCGTCGTCGTCGCCGTCGTCGTCGCTGTCGTCGCGCGCCTCGCCTGCGGCGTCCCTGCTGCAGCCCTGGCCGGGGTTGCCGACACGTGGTGGGGCGCTTGACGGCCCGGCCTCGCCCTCGTTGTCGCTATCGATGACGATAACATCGTCCTCCACGGCGCGGCGACGGGCCTGGGTCTCCAGGTACGCCTGACGCTGGCGGCGCACCTGCTGGCGGACATAGTCCTCCTTCGCCCATTTGAGGGCGGACTCGTCGTCGGGGGGCCACCATGTCGGTGTGCTCGGGCTTCATGGGGAGCAAGCTCGGCTCGGGCTTCGGCCAGACCAGGCGCAGGGAGCGCCTCGCTGGCGCCGTCGCAGATGGTGAGGGCTCGTTGATGACGAGGGCGCCGCTGCGAGCGCGACGCCCGAGCGGTGTCCCCTCCGGCTTGGGCTTGATGGGGCGGAGGGCCGGCGAGCCGGAGCCCAACGACGAGGACGACCCCGGCTCCATTCGCCGCAGCATCCAGGAACTGTCGCGACGGCGAGAGAAGGAGGACCGCGTCGGGTACTCCAGCCGCGACACGTTGTCGGTCTCGATGTGGTCGAGGACGACATCGACTGTGCGGCCGGGGACGCCCCACCACTCGCCACTCGCGCCGTCCTTCGGAGTTGAGGCGGCCGCGGGGGATGATGCCGTTGACGGAGGCGATCTGCTCCTCGCGGCGGCGCTGGAAGTACAACGTCCATAGCGTTTCGCTGTCGGGCGCGTACCTCGGCTGGTTCCGCTGCTCCTTCATCAGCGAGGAGCGGATGCGAGCGATCTCCGCCCACCGTGCCGCTCCTTCGGGCACAGGCGGCACCGGGTGTCACATCCCTAGCTTTACCCTGGCCATGGACTAGCTTGGTTGCTGCATCATGTTTAAATTCAAATGAAATTTGAACTGAGGAATTCAGAAGCCTCAAAACCCTAATTAAAAGAAGGGCAAGCACCCTTTAAATTGCATTCTGTGAATCCAAAATGCCCTAAAAATAGTTTTGTGAATTTTGGCAAGAGTTATATATCAAACCAAAATTCTGGAATATTTTTAAGGAATTATTTGGTCTCTGAATTTAAATCAATAATCTATTTGAATTTGGGGATATATTCATAATATATAATGAATATATTTTCAAATGCTTTGAAATGTTTTATGTACTTTTGGAATAGTCCAGAGAGGTAACATAAAATATTTCAGAATGTTTTGGCACTGTATGAAATTATTTTGGAATTGAAAACAGTGGCAAAAGATATTAAATAAAACAAACAGAACAGGAAAAAAATAAAAAGAACAGAGCTTACCTGGCCTCACCGTGCAGCCCACCAGAGCCGGCCCAGCTTCCCCAGCCGGCCCAGCCCACCTCCTCCTCCCTTGTCCTCTTCCTCCTCTGCCAGGAGGACGAACAGAGGCGAGGCGTGGCGCTCGCCGACGCTGCCTCGGCCACCTCCTGCTTCCCCCCTAGCCACCTCCTGCTTCCTCTCGTTGCCCTGGACCCCGTCCGCGACGCCACGCACCCCCCCAGGCCTCTCACTCTCTCCCCGAGCTCCTCTCCTCCTCTGGCTCTCTCGCGCGCAGCCACCGAACACACCCGCCGCCGCCGACGAGCTCTCTCGTGGCCACCGGCCACCCCTAGCCTCTCCGACACACCCACGAGCTCCGCCTCGACCCCCTCCTTCCTCCCCACCGACCCACGGCCCTCCGAAAGCCCTGCAACGCCGCCACCATCGCCGTTCCGTCGCCGGCCACCGAAGCTCCCCTCCGTCGATTCGCCGGACCCCGAGCCTCCCCTGCCTCGCCAGCAGCACCAGAAGAATCGCGGTGAGCCACTGAACCGTTCCCCTCTTCTTCCCATGCCGTTGGGCCGCTCTAGCCATTGCTTCCGCCGGACCCGAGAGCTCGCCGCCGCCGTGCCTCGTCACCACCGTGGCTGGAGTCGTTGCAGCTCGAAGCCGAGCACACCACCGCACCCGACACGTCTCCAGGAGCCCGTAGCCGCCACTAGCTTCCCTCCCGTGCCCCCGAACGCCAAACCCGACCTCGCCCGAGCTCCGGCCGCCGCCTCGCTCGCCGCCGTTGCTGATTCCGGCCACCCCCGCACCTCCCGTTGGTCCCCCTAGATGCGCACGGGCGCGGGCTACCTCCTGGTGCCCTTGGCGCGTCGATCCGATGCCCCTAGCGCAAGTCCGGCGTCCCCCGCCGTGCTCTGTGGTCGTCGCCGGCTACACTCCGGCGAGAGCTGATGTGGCCGGTCATTAGGGCCTAACCACCCCTGCTAACCCAGGCCTTGGCCACTGACTGTGGGCCCCACGCCCTTAACTAACCACGGTTAACCCCCTGTTTAGTTTAAGTTAACCACAGTGGCCCCACGCGTCGGAATTGACCTAGCTGACGTGGCCGTTGACCGGTCCCACCTGTCAGTGAGTTAAAACAACCCTGTGTCACTGACGTGTGGCCCCCACACGTCAGGTTTGACCAGCAGCAGCGTCTATTGACCTGCTGACGTCACGGCGACGCACTGATGACGTAGTAAATGTTTTCTGGAATTTAAATAATTCTTAAATGATTTATTAATTCCAGAAAATAGCTAAAACTTCAATAAATCATAGAAAATTAACCGTAACTCCAAATTAAAT